GTTCCAATTCAAGATACATCCCCTAAATCGTATCTTGAAAAGATGTTCCATTCAATAACAACTACAAGTTAATTTTGAATCATAATGCAAAAATGAAGTTACAGAAGCTTTGTCAAAGAAAAGTTTCATCGACTATTATTTATAAGTACTTGTGATATTATTTTATTTTGCCTGGTAATTCACCACCAAAAATAGAACCGAAAAATGTTAGACAGTATGAGTTTAAACAACCTACTTCTGATAAAGCGGATAAACTACCATTTCGTAGTATTATTTGCTCATCAGGTCAAGGAGGTGAAGGTATTTAAATACAGAACCTCGTGTTAAAAGAATATTGTAACCTTTTTGAAAGAATATACCTTGTTTCGCCAACAGCCACGATTGATGAAGCGTATAGAGAAATTATGAAACATGTAGAAACCGAATTAAAAGCAGATAATAATAATACAGAACAATATCTATTTGATGAACATAACCCAGAAGCAATACAAAATGTAACTGATACACAACATAAAATAATAGATTATCAAAAGCAAGAGGACTGAACACATTATTGAGTTGCTTACTCATTATTGACGATTTCGCAGAAGACAAAACATGTGTGAGATATAGTTACATATTACACGGTTTATATACAAAATCAAGACACGTTGGTTTATCGGTAATAACAGCCATTCAAAAACATCATGCGTTGGCTCCTGTTGTTAGATTAAACACAAGTAGTTTATATATATATTTAAATTGAAGAACATGAGTGAGGTTGGTACATTTATTATGGAACAATCAGCATTAGTAGATAAACAAACATTACTGAACGTATATCAAACAGCGGTCAATGACCAACCTTTTAGTTTTCTATTTCATTTCTATTTGTTAAACTTCGCGAGGGTGATGTCGTTTTGAACGAGCGACACATATTACTTGAAAAAAGGTGTTATCTGAGAAATAATAGTCTTCTTAAAATAAAATTAACAAATTGAAACCAGTATAATTCTTACAAAATAAAGAATATACAATACTTCGAAATTGGCAATACTAATGATAATAATGGAATATCATATTTGTAATTTAGGTGAGCTAGAAAAACTACATCAAAAACATAGAACTACACGGAGCGGACAGTAGTTTTAGTTTAACATTTGTTGAGGCTTAGTACTATAACCATATAAATATTTGAGTAAAATAGAGGTGGTAGATGTAAATAGTGAAGCAATAGAAGAAGTTAAACCAGTTGAAATTAATGAAGTAGTTCATGAAGTTCAACCTATTGAAAATAACGAAGTAGTTGAAGAAGTTAAACCTGTTGAGAATAATGTAGTAGTTGCAGAAGTTAAACCTGTTGAGAAAGAACTTACTGTTAAACAAATGCAAGCGACAATGAACTGCCCTACGTGTGGAACTTTAATGACTGCTTACAACTATAAGTATAAACAGGCTTGCCGAGGAGTAAAGAAGGGCACTAACAAAGTTATAGATTTAAACAAACCCATTAGACAAAATGTCATCAATCCAGCCCAAGCAGAAGAGTTCAAAGAAGATGTTTATAGCAGAGTAAAAAGCGATATTCCACAAGTGGATGAACAAGAAATAGAAAGAAGAGCTGAAGAACGATTGAAAAAGCATTTAGAAACAACTGCGAATAAAGCACTTGAAACCGCGAAAGAGAGTTACAATAATATGAAAATAGAACAATATAATAGAAACAGAGAGAAAATGAATAATTTAGCAAGTAAAATTATTTGATTCATACATCTATAATCTAATTACTTTGTATAATGATTCATGATAAGAAACAATTGCTTGTGCGTCGTTGAGAAATTTATGACAATGTTGAAAAGAGAATAACAGAACCACAAAATAAAGATAAACCATATATCAGTCAAGTTATTGATAGAAAAGCAGTATTTGAAACAGACAAACCAAAAAAGAAGAATAAATATAAATCAGCTCAACACTACTATTATGAAGGAGACAACAAGACACACCAACCTAATTACATGCCTAATTGTACATATTTGAAGTAATTACAAGAACAATTAGAATAGCATAGCGCTAAAAATGATTTTGCTATATTTCGAAACAAGCGTAGATATATATATATATATATACATCATCCAACAAGTGAGACGGGTAAATCCTATTATGACTTTGAATAGACTTAGCGGATTAATAAATTGATAACCTAATTAATTTCACAATGAAATTAGACAATACACAGATAACCACGCTAAAATCACAATGAAGATTAAGACCGTCCTACAATGAACTCACCAAGGAAATTGCACAGGAAAAATATAACAAATAAGAATATAAGAGACATAATAGACAGAAACGCTTATTACTTTCGTGACAGTCCCTTAGCAACAGTTTGTGATAATAACACAGTAGACTTGGGACAACAACACTTTCAAAGCCTATTAGATGAGAAAAGCAAACAGAACATTTTGATATGGCAAAGGACGATGCAATGGACGATTTAAGAGATGAAGCAACAGAAGCTCTGGATGCTACAATGGACGATGCTGAGGAACAACACGAACAACAAATCAGTCAAGTTTCTCAAAGCGTTAGACAGCAACATTTTGATGATATGAACCAAAGAGTACAAAGAATGAAACAAATTGATGTAAGTTTAAGTCAAGATGTAGCAAATATTTTTCAAGGAACACAAGCATTTCAAGACATGGCAAATCCTAACGCAACAGTTGCTTCAAGTTCTTCTCAGACGCCAGAGACAATAGCAAAAGAAATTAAAGCATCAAAAACGAAAAAAGCAAAGGCAAAGGCGTCATTGGGAGCAATAACAATGGATGACAGCGAGACAATGGCGGTAGAGAGCATCAGAAATGACGCGCAAAAACAGCAAGACCGAGACGCACCAAAAAAATTGAGACCAAAAGCAAAAATGTAAATCGAAATTGAAAAAGACAAAAAAAAAAAAGAAGATACTAAAAGCAATACAGCGCACTCCTGAAATAGCACAAAACACGGCGTCATCATCATCTGGATTACAACCTGACAAAGATAAAGACGACAAGACACCTGAAATAACCCAACAAAAAAAGACAACACAAACAGACAAAACAGCACCCTCAAGAATGAATATGCATCTGTTGGACGAAGCATTCAAGGAAGGTTTGAACAAAGGGAAAAGAACAAAGAATGAATTTAGTAAATACAAAGATATGTTTGACAAATGGAAAAACAACAAAGACCAAAAGGAACATATAAAACCAATTCAATCGCTACACCGATAATTTATATATAAGGAATAAAAAAAATGATTTAGACATAAACCAATGCTGAAAGTAAAAATGATGAAGCTGAAAACCAAAATACCAACCCATCAAAACAAAAACTACTTAAATAAATGAGCTCAAATAGTGACGTAATGACACTTCTTGATTATAGCAAGTGTAATTGTAAAAAGATTAGCAGTAATAAAGTTATAGCACTCTCAAATAGTTTACCCGTTAACATCTGTAAAGTTATTGGAGAATACAGTCTTAATTGTGATAAATGTAGAGAGTTATTAACAAAAAGAACAACTTATGAAAGAACCATGTTTACATGATGGTGGATTAGAAAAAGCAGAGGCTCAGTTATTGTTGTCAGAAGTGTTTAATAATGACATTACTCAACTATTTTTACATCCGTGTGATAGCAAAAGTTATAGAACGTCAAAATATATTTTTGTTGGATGGAAAAGACGTAAAAGAAATATTTCAGAATAGGAAAATGTAGTACAATGCTATAAAGTCTTATTATAAAAATAAAATTGTTCAAGTTGAACGCCTTTTAGGGTATTGTATTGTCCTTAAAACATTAAAACATATGATGCGTGATGGGCTATTCATGCCAAATCCAAATGTGTGGTGGGAAAATAGAAATACAGATTATCCTATGAGAAACATATGAAGCGGTTTAATTGATATTTACACAGACCAATGAGTAAAAGGATATGAACGTTATTGTTGTGAGTATGGTATGAGTTGTTATAGTGGTTGTATCGCTGGTGAGTTTGAACATGGGACAAATTAACTGTTGTTTATTCATATTATTAACTTATAATATGATTAAACTACCTAAAAATCAAAAATATACTTAAAGAAATGAGACCTTGAGTACTGGAAGGTATGACAGTATTAACCACAGAAAAAATAGAGAAGTTGCTGGAGAAAAGGCAAAAGGACAGTGATGAAGCTAAACGGTTCATTAAGTTAAATCCTTACTCATTTTATGAAGAAATGAATACTGTATTTAATAGAATGAAATAATTAGGTTATCCAGAAGAGCCACTAATACAATGTTATCATTTTGATTTGTTTATGAAGACTTACAATGAAATATACGATGAAGGAAAAGTAATAGACTATGGAGCAGGGTTAAACAATATAACATTTACAGGCAGCTGAAACAACTTGAAGATATGAAATTCCTTTTTAGGAGAACAAATGTTCTAATTCTTCAAGCACTCATTAGGTTGAAATTATGAGAAGTATAAGAGAAGAAACAAACATATTGACAAAGAAACAGTATTAAGTTGGTCAAGAAACATAGAACGGTGGTGGAATGATACTGAAGAAAACTTAGGTGTTGATGCTGATTTTAGCAATTGGAAACCATAAGCAGTGTATTCGGTTTATTCATAATATTAACTTAAAATATTATTAAACATTTGTATCCCCCAGAAAGCCTTAAAATGGTCTGAAACCTGAACCTTGAAAATGTCAAATTTTAGACTGTTATTAAATAAAAATGTTAAAACTTACAAAAATCCCCAGAACCCCTATTTATGCTTTGAACAAAATTGTTTGCTTGTTGAATTTCATCCCTGAACCCTGAAGCCCCAGACCTGAAATCTCCTACCCCAGACCCCCTATTTTATCTATTTTTCCACCTTGAGACAAACTGTTTGAGCATCCCAACCACTACCCACCACGCACAACCCTAAAAGCAGTTCGGTGGGTGAAGGTGAAACTTGTTTGTTCAACTTCCGCCTTCCGGAATTTGGTCTTCCTGCCGCCCACAGTGGGCGGGTAGCCGTTGGCATCCAGCTCATGTGGCACCGTGGGGCGATACCTCATGGTGTCGGAGTCCAGCCATGGGGCCACCAAAGGCGAATAGCAATCCGTGGGCGCGCTGCGCAAGTACCACCTCGGGAACCCCCGGGTGACTGAAGTGACTCAAAATGTCTCTCAAAATGGACTGGCTTTAGGCTTTTCTGCAAGTGGGCCACTCCCTTTGCGTCTCGTCGGTACTTCCGATTCCCAGCGTCCAATACTTCTTCTCGCCGTGAAAGTACAAGTATCGGTTTTTGAACCTGGGTGGCAAAGGCTCGAAAATAACATTGCACTTATGAGCCTGAGATCGGAAAGGAAAGAACTGTCCAGCTAGGAAGCCTGTTGTACTGGGCGCTCCAAGCTTGGTAGACAGGACGGTTGTTCTTCATCTCCTCTGTCTTCTTGAAGCACTCATTCGCCATGCCAGCGGCAGTGCTCCTTTTGGAGCCAACAGCCCCAGGCGCCTCAAACCAACAATGGCCTATTTGTTCGGCATTCATCATGACGGTGTCGGGTGCCAAAGCCACGAGTTCTTCAGCCGTCAACAATCTGCAAACCATCGCCGGCCGCTTCACGAAAGCTTTCTTCTCCTTACTCCAGACGTTCCAGGCTTCACCCTCAGAGGCCATATGAGGCCCTCGTGAGGTCCTCAAACGACAACTCGAATATTTTGGAGAAACTCGCCAGAAGATGCACCAAGCTTTTAGATTGTCAAGGTAGAACATGCAATAGTCGTTCTCTCGACAGTAGAAAGTGGGCCGATGGTTGTAGTACTTTCCATCCTGCAATTTGCGCCGGTGACTTTAGTGACTTGAGTGGTTAGGCATCTATTCTTGCAAGCTGCCAACAGAATCCACACGCTGGCATGTCCTGCACATAATCACCATTAAACTTCTCTCTTGGACAACCTTCCACACGAAGTGTCACGTTACCCTTGCTGCTGGTGATAATGTCACTCTCGGCGAACGCCCAATTCCTCACTTGCCGCTGAATGTAAACATAGTTAGAACGGAGAACCCAAAGGAGAAGCCTCCTGTATCAATGCAACGAAGGCGTTTCCGGCTATACCAACTTGCTCACCCATCACAAGCTGAGCATCAGGAACTCCTTGACGGACAGCTCCCCATCGCCGTTTTTGTCCGCCTGCGCCATCACTTCATCAACTGACGCATTGTCCCAGTCATCCGGGTTCAGCGCCTTCAAGACCTGGCCAAAGACACGGAATGACAAACAGGAATGTGTGTCACAAGTGTTTCAATTGACAGCCCGTGATTGCAGCATCATAGGATGAGGCTTTGAGGCAGTGATCATCATGGCCTAGTCACCCCTGCTACACCACACCTCAGCCAACTCCTCTTTGGAAATGTTTCCAGATCCGTCAGCATCAAACTTCTGAAAGGCTTCGATGACCTTTTCATCATGAGCTCCTGCAACTTCTCGGTCGTTCTTGTCTTTAAACTCCAGTTTTTTGCCGCGCACATAATCCACCATCTCGACCACCGATGTTAGCGCCCAGAAGTGGATGGAAGGCCGGGGGAGGTTTGAGCTTCCAAGTCATGCCAGCCGAAGTGTCAAAGCAACTCTAGCAACAAGGTGCACCCACTCACTGCGCATAAAGAAGCAGCCACACTCTTGGCTCTTGCTTATTTTCGTCCGGGCAAATCTCTGAGAGACTGGCCGTCACCAGACCGGTCCGAGGAACCGGACAGGCAGCTTTATTGGCGTGTGGAAACTCAAGTCCATGTTTGATAAAAAAGAAAACAAGAGGGCCTCAAAGCGCCGTTCTCTCTCTCTGCCCCAAAGAAAACATCAGGCAATTTCCCGAACTCGGGCGGATTCGAGTTCTTGCTAAATGGGTGTCTTGTTCGAGGGAATTTGCTCCTTTTTGAGGGTTTGTGAGCATATTCCATCGCCATCCGAGACGGATCAAGACGCTCCTGCAGCACTGGAACGAATTGGGCTGGCCAATCTGGTACTCATTGATGCTTTTGATGAGTCCGTGGACTTGCGAAGTGAAATGACGCTGCAACAGCAAGTGGCTACTGCGCTTGAGCATTCCGGAAGCTGGTCATGCGTCTGGCCCATGCTGGCCCGTGCCGCTTTTGCCTGACATATCCTGACACTTGAGGAAACAGCCTAGTGTCAAGCATCGCATGAGCCACAAAGCCATTGCTTGCATGGGAATAGCCACTGGCCATATGAAGTGAATGGTTTCCCATATTTCAAGCTGTTTTAGATTAATCACCCCATACTCTCAGGGTTCATACCATAAGTTATCATGGACATAGACCGCTATTATCTTGCAGTTTTTCAATCCAGATAAGATAGGACCCTCTTTTCTTTGGGGGGCCAAGGTCTCTCTGATTTTGGTATGAATCCTTTCAGACCTTTGGTTTACGTCAGAAAACATGCTTCGATTTGTTTGCAACGTAACTATTGAAAGCTATAGCCATTTCTTCGAAGTCACCTAGGTGGCTCAAAAATGAAACCGGCGGAAATGCCTTGAGCCACGCCGACTTTCAATCGCCCAAACATTGGAGAGGCGGCGCCGTGGGGGGTTTTGTCTGTTTCTTTTGAAAGGGGGGGAATGGGTCTCCTGTGATGGGGTTTGGCTTAGACAGCTGTCCGATTTACCCCCTGTTGGAAGTCTCCAAATCGCGGACTAACTTCCCCATCTCAGACATCCAAAAAAACGTACCACTGACAATTTTTCATCAGGAATGTTGTAAGGAAACAACTGATGAACAAGAAAACTGACAGAAGAACTGCCCAAAAGTGTGCTATCAAGCCTAGACCTACAGTGTACACTTAGGCACAAAGCTGCTAACTTTGCACGCTGCGCGCTGCTATAGAAGTCTCGAGCCACGTACAACATGCAAGGCGTGTATCTGCGTTCCACAGCCCCCTCAAAGTCCGCTCTGGAACTTGCATTCATGCATTCAGACACTCTTCCAAAAGAAAAAACTACAGAAAAAACTACATATCCCAACGCCATCAAAATACTGCTGCTCCTACGGGTGCACCTTTGACACGGGCTCTCCCCAGCCCAGTTGCTCGAGACATCTGGTAGAGAGTGTCTTGGTATTCCATCCTGTTGCAGCCAAGTTTCCTTGCTCTTTGAGAGCTTGATCATTTTCTCACCCAACGACATATTCACGATCATGTTGCTCGTCTTGAAATTAGATGATGTGTTATCAAGCCTAGGCCACCTATGGGAAAAACCTAGGCAAGCAGCAAACCGTTGACCTTTTCACACTGCTGTCAGTGATCTTGAAGTCTGTGGCAGGCGGAGCATACACATGCATAGGGTTGGAACCTGAATCCACACCCCCCTCATTTGAGATGGTACAGCAACGAAAATGTCCGGCAGGTTTTGCAACCCGCTATGATTCGACACTCACCCATGGCACATTGAAAATGGACGATACTCATCCGTTGCGCCCGCAAATTGCTACCGCTCCTTTGTGGTGTACTTTGCCTTCACCACCTCCCGCCAGATGACCAGCCACGCGAGTCCCTCCAGCTTCGGCTTCGATGTGTTGCGGTGGAACTGGATGCTGGTTGGGCCTGTCCGCAGGCACGGTCTTCAGCGCTTTGTCTTTGGTTGCGCTGTGCCAGCCATTTTGCATCATTCGTTGCATTCGCACAGATCTCGCGGATCTCGGCTTCAAGGTTCTCGGCTCCGGTTGCCCGGAGCGTCGGAAACTGCCCGCCGAAGGTGACGAGGTTTCGCATCCCCGGAAGGATGTTGACCTGAGCAACGAACTGGGCCAGGCTCAGCATCTTGCCGTTGTAGGAAAAGAGCCGAGGGAAGGCATGAAGGTCAGCGTCGTAGTCGCCGCTCTCGCCGCCACTCATAGACCGACGGACGTAGTGATGGCTCTTCTCGCCGTACCCGGGCCCGACTCCCAACAGCCGTTGGTCATAGGTGCGAGGGAACTCGGGGAGCACGCAGAAGCGAAAGAGCGACATTTGAATTAGGCTCTCTCGGTTGTGGCCCTGCTCCACCATCCTGAGGGCGAACGTCGCGTCCTTGTCAAAGCGGTCGACAAACGTTCTCGCACCCCAGCTTCCTCGCCCTCTGGTCGTAATTCTTCGAGGCCTCGATCTGCTTCGCCTCGAAGGAGGTAGCGCCACGCTTGGCGACGTCAGTATACCCTTTGAAGTTCTTGGCCCTGTTGCCCTCCTTGTCGGTCTGAAAGGCCTGACGGCTTGCCTTCGATGGGCATGGTGGCGCGAACCCCGGCATTGTAGGCGGAACTCTCAATGGGGTGAATAGAGAAATGAATCTGCGCACGCCCGCTTTCCGTTGCGCCAACGCCTCCTGGGACGACCCCCGTCCGCACAATGCTGTCCGCCGCGGCCTTGCTGCTGCGGTGGTACAGCTTGCCGGGGGCATCCTTCATCAGCGAAAGCGTCAGTCCGGCCTTGTGGGCATCCTCCGGAAGATGATTCCCGAAGATAGCCTTTGCCAGGGCGTACTGGTTTCGGCTGTCGCCATCAGCATTGACGCTGCTGGCATGGCCTTGGCTCGCACGAACCTTGATGACAACCCGCTCCTGGTTGTTCTCAGCGGCCGAAGGATGCTTGATCGCGAGGACCGTGAATCGGCACTTCGGGTCGCTGGCGAAGATCTTCAACAGCGTCTTGTGCCCGATGTTGCTCTGGGTCTTCCTGTTGAACTTGTCGCACAGCTAACGCACATCAACCTGGCTCCAGGGTCGTGTCTCCCGCTTGTCTCCCTGTGTCTCCCAGTCTCTGCGGTCAGATGCCAGATGCTGTGACGCTGGCTCCGGGGTCGTTTTTTTTCAGGTTGTCTCCCGCTTGTCTCCTTGTCTCCCGCTTCTCCCAGTCTCTGCGGTCGGATGCCAGATGCTGTGACACCGGCTCCGGGGTCGTGTCTCCCGCTTGTCTCTGTGTCTCCCGTCTCTGCGGTCGGATGCCAGATGCTGCGACACTGGCTCCGGGGTCGTGTCTCCCGCTGTCTCTGCGGTCAGACGCCAGCCGCTTGTCCTCCTTGTGTCTCCCATCTCACGCTGGCTCGGGTCGTGTCCCCCGCTTGTCTTCCAGTCTCTGCGGTTGGATGTGACACTGGCTCCAGGGTCGTGTCTCCCGTTGTCTCCCTGCAGTCTCTGGCCACACGGTCTACTACAACCCGACCACAGTGATGGACCAACTACACATCACTGAGCACCAGACAACCACTACACCCATTGCCCGACAACACACCCTACACTCAGTTTTTCACTGCGCTCACACTTGAAGAGTATCAACTACTCTCGCAACAACAAGCAACTCCACTGGCGCAACTGGACTATATACGACCCATTCACTGCATCCCTGGAGGCCTTCGGATGCCCCACTACAACTCTACACTGCTCAGCGTTTCACTACCTGAAGCAGCCAACGTCCACTACTACCACATGACTTCACTCCACACCACAACCAGCGACAACACAAACTACATCATCATCCAACTCCAGATCCAACAGCCACCACTTCTGAGGTACCTCGCTTCAGGACAATTTCTACACTTCACAAGGGACTACACCTCCTACATGATGTCCATACAACAGAACTACTACCTCCCGACTACACCAATTCCACAGACCATCTACAAGGTGAACTACAACATGACCACCTTCACTGACAACTACAGCCTCAGGAACAACTACCTTCCCTACTACTACCTGAACTACTCCACTGCCTCTACAACCGCGACCAACTCCACGACTTCCAACACAAGGCGATCACTACCATTCTTTGCAAAAGCATCCACTCACTACTTCCATCCAGCGCCCTACATCGAGCTGGAACCTGAACAGCGTGAACTACTGAGCGCAGGTCACTACTTTTGCCAATACAGTAGAATTGATGAACAACAAACAAACAGTCAACCAATGTAGTCTGCAGCTGCCAACCTTGTCACTCATGCGGAGTAGTAAGCTCAAGGCCTGCGGTAGTGAACATACATGCAACACATATGCAGGAAGTGAAGCATGTAGTTTGACACGGCCCCTCAGTTAAAAGGTCTCTGTAGCACCTTTCAAACTGAAGTGCAAAACGTGGATTGACAGCAGTGATGAAAACCATTGAACACTACAGCACTTGCACTTGTAAGCAAAGTAGCAACCGATTTTAGCGAGAGAGAGAGAGAGAAAGAGCGAGAAAGTCAGAGAGTAGAGAGGTTGGAATTGGGGTACCCTTGTTCTGTAGAGGGGCGTGGACAGGAAGGAAACAGGGAGACAGAAAGAGACAAAGAAACAGAGAGAGAGAGAGAGATGTCAAATACCATGCTGTACTACTTGTCCTTTGTACATGCATGATGTTCACTACTCGACCGCAGGCCTTGAATCTACAAGCAAAAGAGCGCATGCTGGGAAACTACATTTGTGTTTGTGATAGCAGAAACAACACTTGCACTTGTAGTAAAGTATCGACTAATTTTAACGTGGTAGTAGACCTCTCACGAGATCTACACTACATCCTCATCAACATCTGCCAAGGAGCAGCAGCTACAG